CTGAACGGTTGGTCGCTTGGGCGGAGCCCGGTCCGAAGATACTCTCCAGGAAGGGAAGGTCGGTCGGACTCGGTCTGGCGAGTCGCTTTCGGATACAAAGTCAACATCTTAATCGCGAAAAGACGGTCGCGGTCGCGGTCGCCCAAGCAGTGTCAACAGAACTGAGGACGCGCGTCGAAGTGCGCACTGAGCTGCTGGGCTGTGGTCGATCGGTCAGTCGGATGAAGACCAACTTCCTTGTCATGGTCATAGCGCTGTCCGTGGTGCAGCTGTGCGACGGCGCGAAACCCCGGCCTCCGTCGGAGACCGGGAACAGGTTGTACTGGAAGCACCGGCGGCCCTGCAAGCAGAGCAACCGTGTCAACGTCGAGGTGTACTTCAGCAGCATGAGCACCGAATCGGCTCACTTCCTGCTGTACCAGCTGCAACCGTTGTGGCGTAAGTTCCGCGCCGTGATGAACCTCACCCTCGTACCTCACGGCCAGTCCACTTGGCACTACCGACTAGGCTACTACGAGTTCTTCTGTCAACGCGGTCCAGAGGAGTGCTTATTGAACCGAATTATGAACTGCGGCCTGTACTTCATCCGCTCAGGCGGCACCAGGCTTTCGTTCGTGATGTGCCTGCTGGGCAAGAGGTCGATGCACGCCGCCTACTGCAGTCACTTCGTCGGCCTGCGCTACAACAAGTTGTACGACTGCGCTATGGGGCCGCTGGGAAGCATGCTCCAGCACAGAAGTGGCCTGTTGACCAACAACTTGTACCTCAACAAGCTGGTCGTGCCCACAGTGGTCATTAACAGAAGGGTGCAGCGCGATGCGACGAAAAACCTGCGAAGGGCACTGTGCCGGAATCTGCCGCCTAAACTTTGGAAAGGTCGTTGCTAGTTTAGCAGAATTTTCATGTTAACTGTTTAGCGCATGGATTTTATTCAGTGAAAGTTTTGGCAATTTTTTCCGTACCTTTGACTGCCTCGTTGTAGTACCTCAACAGAAAGTGAAAGAGAGTGCAAAGCTTGTCAGGTGTTATACCTGTGTAAAGCTCGCTTTCGAAAAATGACCTTTTTAATCATGCAAGTTGAGAATTATAGTATTCCTCTTCAATGAACGCTTTGG